AACCATTGAATTTTTCAAGAAATGTTAACCAAATATTCGCATCTTCTTTCATGCCTTGGTTGACTCTAATAAAATGGAACGGTTTCTTTACATACGACATGGCGTCATAAAAACGTCTATTAAAGGCACGGTCACTGGGAATAGCTGTTGATATAAAATTTAGTAGACCAACGACTGATTGTAAGTCTTTGAGTTTTTTAGCGTTTCTCAAACAAACGAGACAGTTTTTCGCTTTCCTTATTTTTTCTAAAGGCACCCTAACCATTTGGTTGAATCAATTTCAAGACCCAGGTATATTATAGTTGTAACAGGTCCCATCCATTTTTCGAAACTTAGGGGGATGCAAATTTTATCAAATGTTTGCATTAAATTCAAGCATTTTTCAAAAGATTTTTCTGCCATAAAAAATCATCTAGCAGGTGATCAATATAGTATGATTTTGATTCTTTAGACACAAGCCATTGTAAAAACTTGATGCGCCTTGTTTTTTTTAATCCAATATCCCTCCTCGGTATTTATACCTAATAAATCAAAATCACCTGGTCATATAGGGCATAAATTAAATGCAGAAGAAATGTGAGCTTTTGCCATAAAAGCAGAACCCCCTATTTCTTGAACTATTCTTACTGCATTGTCGAATTGTGAATATTGAACATGGCAAAATTCTGGATCGATAAATTCATTTATACTTTTGCCTGGTGGGTATGAAAGGTGCGTTATTCATCTGAAACCACCGTCTTGTTTTGGTACGAGACCTACGGGATTTATTCTCAGATTAATAATTGGCTGGTTTTTGAACGGTCCTAGGATTCGCCCAAGTAAAATTTCGTCGTGAAGCTTTTTATTTAAAAAGCATTTTTGATCAATTGCCGATTTGAGATTTTTGGAAAAAATAGTTCTTGGTCCGGTATATTCAAGTTTAAAACCAGTACTAAAGCCTTGTAAAATGTAATTGGCATCATCCTTATTTGGGTATTGAAAGAGTTTATCAGCGAGAACCGAGATATTAATTGGTGAAAACCCGAGGTCCCATAGGCACTCTTTGAGCTGGCAATCCAAATACCTGTCGAGGGTATTGCATCTGGGGTGGTCTGAAACGTAATGAAGGCCTTACATAACGCGGTGTGAATTGCGCTGTTTGTTTATTTGCATAACAGTGTATTGAAGGGTGGTTACCACAGCATTTGATGCAAACGTGTTTGTAGGTACATGATCTATTTGTACAAAAGCCTTTGTTATTAAAGTCATAACATTTTTTTTGAAATATTCAGAAGTGCCGGCTGGTTAAAGGACTGAATAGGCTGCATATATATCATCCACAATTCTGGGTCAATATTTTGCCACTTTATACCAAAATCAATTAATTTTTTAAGCCTAAATTGCCTATCGTACTAGAACCATCCGACATTTCTGGATGCCGCTAAACGAATGTTTGCAAAATATTGTAATAGGTTATTTGCTTGTTCTGTATGTTTCATAATGAAAATACTCATGTACACCACGAATGCATCTGAACAAATTTCTATTTTTTCTAATTTTTTTTGGAATTTGCTCTTGGGTACTTTTTTGGCTCTTTTGTCTTTTTCTAACATATTTTTCTTTGGCAACAAAGTGTGTAACTCTACAAATATATTGTTCCATATCTTATCTTTAGTACTGACAGATACATGTGCACCTAGCATTGTACCAGAACAAGTATTTATCATGAAATTTTTGGAAACTTCACATTTATTAGCCTCTTGATGATGAACATCAACATCTACCGGAGGTCCTGATTGGCCATCCATCTCGTTTTCTTCACAGGGCTCCCTTGCAGGTCTGTCAGCTGGAGGCATGGCTGTATAAACAGACGTTCGAGTGTTCCTTCTATTATTGACTTGCTGTTGGAGCGTGTCTCGTGTATGGCCACGTTGTTGGCGATGTTTTGGCATTGTCGAAAAATAAAATAATATAAATAAATAAATAGATCTAAATAAATAAATTAACTAAATAAATTTGTGTAGATCTTAATAAATTATTTTTATTAATTTTTTATTTGCTGTATTTTATTTATTTCATACTTTATATATTTAGACTCTATTTAGTCTTATCTTTATTTTCTTAGCCTAGATAAAAATGACGTCATAGGTATGATATCATGCGCGTGGATTTCAATGAGACTGATAATTTTCTCGTTGGAAAACATGACCTGTCATAATCGAGTTATATAAATAAATAAAATATTGTATTTAAACCGTTTTATAGCTATGCTCATTTATTTATTAATTCATAAGATAATGATAATAATCTAGATTCTAAGTAAAGATCACGTGCTCAAACATCATATAAACATATAGAGGATATTTGTTTGTTTGTGTGTAAGATGAAATTTTATTTCATCGAGTGGGCTTTAAAAACAGTATTCTCACGAGTGGCGTAGCCACGAGTGAGAATACTGTTTTTAAAGTTCATGAGATGAAATAAAATTACATCTTACACAACAAACAAACAAATTTTCTTTTTATTTTATGCTTAAAAGCAAGTTAAAACGAAATTTCAATAATATTAATGTTAATATTAAAATCTGTTTTCCCCATTGAGAGCCCCATTTAGTCGGAATTTCTCATTAAAAACAAGAAGTCTTGAGCTGAAAAAATAAGTCCGACAATCAACGTTAATTGACGGTAATAATTCATTTTATTAAAAAAATATGAACGATCGCTTGATTTAATAATAAAAACAAACAATTCTTGTAGGAGAAAAAGTCCAACCATCCATCCATATTTCTGTTACTTACTGCGATTTTATATTAGACCTGGCTTTGTTAAAATGTAAGCGGCAGCCATTTTTTAAGTTGTGTATTTCACGGGAGGAAAATAATTGTGATTGTTCAGAGGGATATCATTTGAATTTGTTAGTCATACACCTTTTTAAAAGAAAGAAAACTTTTTTGAGGATTGCAACAGACAAAAAATATGTAATGACAAATGTGAAAACATACAAAAAAGCAGCAAGGAAAATGGAAAACTTGGAAGCTGGCTCAGTTTACTTGTTCTTCGAGCTGATAGCTGTCATTGCTTTTCAATTTTTCATAAAGCATACGGCAGTTATTGCTCGTAGGATACTTAAATATGCCCAAATGTCATCAAGAGCAGTTTTGCATGTAGAAGGAATGTATTTTTCAGACTGTAAAAATGAAACAAAAAAAATTAGAGACGAAATTTAGTGATTGAAATTTGAATGAATAGAAGTAAGTTTTCTTCTTTTTATTACTTTTGACATTTAAGTTATTTCTCAATTTCAGCTTTACTTTTTCATAAAACAGCCTGACATTGTCAGAATTTTCAGCCAAAATAAAATTGAGGTACCACATGGGGAAAATCTTAAAAAAGTAGTTTCGTGATTGAAAAGTGTGAAATTATCAAATATAATTTTCACGGATAAATCAGTAATCCACTGAAAAGCATAAAAAATTGGTTTAAACTCAAGAGCTACATTTAAATCCCATTTTTTATTCATTTACTTAAAATTTCAAAGAAACCTATTAACTTTGACATATATTTAATGTAATCAAAGCATCTAAAATTGATTTTTGACTACTGTCCTTGGCGAGAAAAACAGTTGGTCATCACCACGTGGTCATTAGATCTGGTCAAAATTCTTATCTAATAACCCCAAATAATAAACAAATAATGAGCAGAAATATAAAATATATCTAATTTCCTGTGAGATTAAATAATATTGTTTCATATTCAAGATTTGTAATGTAAATTTAGATAATTTTTTTTACGATAAACTAGTCTACCTCTTCTATTGAGAGCCACGATTGAAAGACCGTTCCTGGAATTTTTTCTGCCTTATTTATGACATAATCCAGTGTAAATTGTCTCCCCTGACAACTCTTTTTGAGGCCCTACTGTGGTGTTATAATAAAAATGTTAAGTTGTAAGATTTGAATAAAAGATTTAATCCTGTGGCGGATAAATCGAATATTATCATTTAAAACAGGAAAAATCTTTAAAGATTATCATTTTCGAAATAGTGTTAGGTACAAATATGTCACTAACTTAAATGTTAATCTTATGACTCCACTAGAATGGAGACAATATGGAACAATATTTAATTTTGCGATTTATCTCTTTTTTTTTGGGGGGGGGGGGTTCTTTAAGGTTCCTATTGTTTGAGATTTATTACGAGTTTTCTTTAAAAGAGGTGTACTAAAATTATGTTAAATTTGCATTGACCATTTAAAAATTACAGACTCAAATCGAGGAATTTCTAGAAGTTCGTTAAGAAATATAAGGATTATTTCTTAAACTTATACACGTACTAATATAAACCTATTACGGAAAAGAAACAAGAAGTTAAGTGTCCGTGATACTCGTGTTCTGTTAATCAAGAAAAAAATGACACTGTCTTTAAAATTAGAGTCTTTCTTCTGAATATTCCATTCCACTTAGTATCAGCTTATGATAAAAAACACAACAATAAACAAAAACGAAACCACACTGATACCAGAAACTAGTCTGCAGGAAAAATACCGAAATACGAGTACACATATAAGTAAACAAATAAATAAATAAACAAACAAATGAATAAAACTGTTCTTATACCCATGAGTATATTGGATTCATTGCTACTTTAAATAATCATTGAAAACATTTGAGCCACGCCATGGCAAAGCCAACATAATGGGTATGCGACCAGCATGGATCCAGACTAATCTGCACATCCGCGCAGTCTGATCAGGATCCATGCTTTTCGCTTACAGACCCTATAACAAGTAAAGAAACTGATAGCGACCAGCATGGATGCGCAGGCTGGTCTGGATCCATGCTGCTCGCAATTTCATTATGTTGGTTTGTCGTGAAGCGGCTCATTTGTTTTCATGTTTACAAAACTCAGAAAAACTGATGCATGTAAAACCAGATTTGCCTGGCCAAGCCTCTTTTTAAAGTAATTTCGTAATTCTATACTTCTAAAACTTGCTTGCTTCACGTGTATGTGTCCTATCATTTTAGCTGTAAATTTACCCATGCTACATGCGAGTTTCGCCATGCACCTACGCCATTAAGTATTGCTCACTATGGTGACTGCACAAGAACAACACTAGCACCATCAACAGTAGCTCCCACGACAACCATTGCCGGTATGACGTCCACGGTGATGGCGACAACCTCGACGGACTCAATCGCCAATATTGTACAAAATGTGTTCTGTCGAAATATTGATACCATCAATTGTGGATTTGATTTCAAACTTATCTGCGGATCCGATGGGAAATTATATCCAAATCAGTAAGTTTTAGTTTTCATTGAAAACAATTTCCATATTCGCATAGAAATTTTGAATTGCATATCTAATCCTCTACGTGATTCTGTTTACATTCGCGGTTATACATTCAATTTAAGTGTTTTGCCAAGATAAAAATAATTGAGCCGCGTCACGACAAAACAAACATAATGGGTTTGCCACCAGCATGGATCCAGACCAGCCTGCGCATCCGCATGGTCTGATCAGGATCCATGCTTTTACGCTTACAAACCCTATAACAAGTAGAGAAATTGATAGCGAACAGCATGGATAAACAGCATGGATCCTAATCAGACTGCGCGGATGCGCAGGCTGGTCTGGATCCATGCTGGTGGCAAACCCATTATGTTGGTTTTGTCGTGACGCGGCTCAAATGTTGCTCATATTGCTTGATCATATTCGTTTCCGACACATTTCAATTTCATATAAGAAGATAAACAATTTACCGAACCACAACGTTATGACCCTTTCCGCGAATCTTTAGTATAATGTTATTGTGTTCTGATTGCAATTTACCCCAATAGTAGGTTAAACTTTGACACATAATTCGTGGTATTCCCTATTTTATATTCTTTATTATTTACTAGACCTACTTACGCTCTTTTATATATATCAGTCAAATGTGTGACTTAATTTTGGATTCCGCTTTCCTTGATGAATAATACTCGTATTCTGCCTTCAACTTATATCATCAACACTATACACGTAAAGTAAGGCCAAAAAACGTGAGGACATGCAATAAGACAACTTCATTTTCTTGTGACACTTTCTAAATTGCAAACTTTTAAAACTCCTGTCTACAGGCGAGAACTACATCTTAAATCCTTCCGCCCAGGAGAATATGCAAAAGCAACTTTTAAATGTTTCACACAAAAACTACACGGATGCAATAAATACACTTTTCAATTTGTTCAATAAAACTAGAGATGAATTAAATAAGGGCACTGTCTAGACTAAAATTAATTGTGTCTAATTTTTACGAGGTTTAGTTATTTTTCTTTTAAACGCTTATTGATTCTTGCTAAACTCACAAAGTGAAGAAATAATGACGACCAAATATTGTCATAATGGGAGTATAGATAGCATATAATAGTACTTGTTCTCTCATAGATAATATGGGTCTAAAGTAAGATTTTATCCAATTAACCATTAATAAAATGCAAATTTGTTATTCTGATGAACAACAGCGAGGTAGATTTTAATAAATTGTTCGATTTCTTAGTGCAAGCCAAATTACCTCAAATTACATGTAAATTCCGACAGTTTAAAACAGTTTGACCAATATTTCGTTTCAATAGCGTAGAAATACAAACAACACTTACTAGAACATATCTTCACAAAGACATTAAATCGACTAATTGTTATTTTGATGTTTAACAACAAAGACATTACAGCGAGACACAGGCAAAAATTTCATTTCTTCGTTTCGAATTTTTCATTCATTATACTGTAAATGTCCTCACAATGAATGCACTAAGCAGTCACAGGAACAAAACTTTTCTTCTTATAAAGAATAAAATGGTGGTTTCCTAACTTGATCCATGCGGGTCATAATTGTTATCACAGTGAACTCTAGAAACGTTTAAAAACATGTGAAATAATTGACTTAGACTTGTTTCAATCATGCAATATCTATGTCTTTTATTTTAGCTTTCAGGGTTTGTTCAAGTCACATAACTTGTTTTAAAACTACTCGGTGATTATGTCGGCATCTAAATTTTGTTCAACTTGTATAGATATATTTTCGCTTCAAACGCAAAATATATAGAATTTACAAAGAAATTCATTCCGGGACTTCAAAAAATGTTATTTTAACGTGATTTGAGTACAGAAGATCATTAAAAATATTTTGTCATTAATTTACCCGAGTACCCCTGAGTATAATACGTGCTTTATAGGTCATCGTAATTATTAAGGTATAAAAAGACAAATGTTTTCTTCTCTAATAGTAAACTGTAAATAATTTGGACATTAGACTTGATAGATGTGTCGAACAATGTCACTATTGAATAAAATACGTATACTTTTATCTTATTTTCAGATGTGAGATGTCAAAACAAAAATGTAATGACCGGTCACTTACTGTGGCTGACAGGTCTTTCTGTACCTTATAAAGATGATAGTTTATGAAAACATTTTGTGTATCATAGAAAAAAGACAAATACAAATACGTTATTGTTTTAGTGTTTAATTACTTTTGTTCTTAACGGTTAGATGCTTAATTCCTAAATTGACTGGTATGGCTGAGTCATGTCGGGAGTTGCCTTCTGTGAACGTCGTCTTACCTTGTTGATATTTGTTCTCATTTTTATGTCCAGCTTCAAATTTTAGTTTGATAAAAGTTGGACAGATACTTGTCATATCGCATGAATGTGTAGGCTGGCCTGGCTCTATGCTGATGAGAAAGGCTTATCATTTCAAGCAGGGTAAGGGTCAAGGTAAGGGTCAATTCCCAATGACAAAATAAGTGCATAGCAATTGTTCAGAAAAAATTGCCCCTAACTCCACTTCGGTGTATATTTTTCTTGTCCTTTGGAGTAGTTAGGTGGACTCGTATAGACGACGTTGACCTCAAAGTTTTCCTATACATTCAATACAAATCCGTACTCTTGGATGGGATAGAAATCGTCAGGTGGGCTCGTATAGACGACCTTGACCTTTAGGTTTTCCTGTATATTAAATACAAATCCTTACTCTTGGGTGGGGAAGAAAATGAGTCGTGTTTTTGAAGCGCTCTTGCGTAACTCGTACTACAATGAGTTATTGATAGCGGGTGACAATTAAAGTTTTTAGTCCCTTATCGATTAATAGCAGAAGATGCAATGTACTCTTGGAGACAGGACAGGGATTTCCACAGGAAAACCAGTCCTGACAGGTTTAAACTGAATCTGCCATCATGATCATACATGTTTGCATAATCATTCAGTCATATCAATTTCTATTATAACGCGTTATTTGAACATTGCGTTCAAGTATTACTTTTCACTAGACGGACAATTATCAAACAATACGCTTGAAAACTCATTACTCTTGACAGTCGATTAATCGACAGGTACTTTTCATCTTATCAATAAAGATTCTGTCTACAGACAAGGGACCAATTAAATGGTTAATCTTTACATTATTCTGAAAATATCTCAGATATGTTAACCTAGATTTCTGTTAAAATGTGAAATGTTGCAATCATTCAGCTGAAGCGCAAACTCAACTCTGGTCCAAGACCCAAAACAACACACCTCGTCTTTCTGGAAAACAAGAGCTGTCGGTATGACAGCACGCTCGACTATTATTTGTGCTTGATAGTAAAAGAGCCTTGATAATGTAAAATTTTCTAAGTTCACAAAAGGGTATTTTTTAAAACCATGTTAAACTTATAGGCCTTAAAGAGAGTCTTATCATGCTCACAAAGAAGGGTTTACACTTTTAACTTGTTACAAAGTATAATGCCAATGGAATATAATAATATATGAGGTGGTACGCAAACTTTAAAATAAATACTCTAAGTCCAAAAAGGGGCATGGTTCTGTCAAAATGGTTGATAGTGTTACCTTCTCCTGTCTATAGGTTAGGTGCATGATGGCACGGATTTATAAATCCGTGATGATGGTAAACAAGTGTGCAATGTTTCAAAGCCATATGTCAAATGACTTTGACAATATTTTAGCTGGTACGCAATCTTTAACATAATTTCTAAGTCCAAAAAAGAGCATAACTCTGTCGAAATGATTGATACTGTTACGCCCTCCTGTTTACAGATTGGGGACATAATGGTGAACAATCGTGAAAAGTTTCAAAGCCATATGCCAATGGACTTTGAAAATATTCGAGGTGGTGCACAAAGAAGTAATTATAATGGTTCAGAACTGTTTACACTATTTAAAGGGGTTCATGTGTAAGCAGCTTAATAGCTCAGACGGTAGAGCTGTAGTAAGGTATTCTGAGTGTCCCGGGTTTGAGTCCTGTTCAGGCTGCACATTTTTCTCACTGTGTTACAAAATGACCAATTGGTAGGACTTACGAATCTTGTGATAATCCTAAATATAATATATTTAATCAAACTGGACTTAAATTAGTTTTTATATACATTAAACATTTTTAATCTTGTTGCATGTAATTATACAAATTGATTAAGGTAGTCCATGGGTAATGGGCACCATAAGGAACTGTAAAATTGACAACATAGGACAGTTATATGTCTTCAAGGTCACCTGTATGCAAAATTTAAATGAAATTTACCATGTGGTTTATGAGTTATGGATATATTTCTGAATTAAAACTTTGCCATTAGAAGGGTTTACTTTCAGAAATGAGAGAACTCTAAATAATCTGTAATATCATCATTATAAAAATGTTTTTCTATTGCTCATTGTTAAGAAACAAATAATAGCATTCAGGTAACAAATTGCACAAGCAAAATGTTTGTTTCTAAATAAAATGTTCTTATATGTATAAAAATGTCACTTTAAACACTTATTTTACCATTTCCCTATCTAAAATGCCTTATTCAAAATATCCCTTAAATTTACCATAATGACGGGCTGTTTTTAAAGTTTGCCTAAATTTTTTAAAGGTATATTGATTGATCCTGCGAAATATGAAATATTTTTTCCGTATAGTTTTTATTTTATTAAACTTTGAAAATATCTTGTATCATATTTGCTATAAATTTTGGCATTTTTTAGCAAATAAATACCTACAATAGTTATATAATTTAAATCACACCCTTTTTTCTTCCATAAGGGATCAGAGAGATTCATAAATAATGTTAAAAAGAAAAAAGAAAGAAAAAAAGTTGCCCCTTCTAGGGTTTGAATCCATGCCCCTCAATTTCAATGTAATTGGCAAGCGATTCCAGCCTATTTGAATACTCTTCAAAGTGGCGGTAATGCATTACCCATGGTCTACCTTAACTTGTATGAGTGATATTGGTGGAGTGACAATGAAAAAAACCGTATGTTCATGTATATATAGAAAACAACTGTAGAATTATAGAAATTAAAAATTAAATTTATTTACAGAATGATGTGGATCCTGCAGGATTTTCACCAGAGGGGTTTGTAAAATTTCAACAATGGGTAAAATACATATTTCAGGGAGCGTGGCCGAGTGGTTAAGGTCGTCGACTTCAAATCACTTGCCCCTCACCGCTGTGGGTTCGAATCCAGACAGGGACTTTGGATTCTTTCATGTGAGGAAGCTATCCAGCTAACTACCGGAACGTCGGTGGTTCTACTCAGGTGCCCGTTCGTGCCTGAAATAATGCGCGGAAGGGCACCTGAGGTCTTCCTCCACCAGTAAATCTGGAACGTCGTGATATGACCTATACTGTGCATGTCGATGTGACGTAAAACCCAAAACAAACAAACAAACAAACAAATTTCAGTGTGTACATAAATTTGGTACCGCTGGCCTAGTGGTTAAGGTGTCTGCCTTCAGATTGTGAGGTTGAAGGTTCAAGCCCCCCCCCCCCAGGGAAGGTACTAGTAATTGAAGTATGAATGTTTACCGTGGGACTCGTTCCTAAATAGCCGCTTCTTGAGCTGCTAGGTAGTTAAAATGAATGGTTACCAATTTCTATCCACATTGCGCCAGGTATAGTGGTAGGAGTTGGGAGGTACCTGGTATCACGGATCACGGATGTAATATAAATCCGTGCTGGTATGCAAGCAACAGGTGGGACTCGTTCCTAAATAGCCGCTTCTTGAGCTGCTATGTAGTTAAAATGAATGGTTACCAATTTCTATCCGCATTGCGCGTGGCATAGTGGTAGGAGTTGGGAGGTACATGGTATGCAAGCAAAAGGTGGGACTCGTTCCTAAATAGCCACTTCTTGAGCTGCTATGTAGTTAAAATGAATGGTTACCAATTTCTATCCGCATTGCGCGTGGCATAGTGTGAGGAGTTGGGAGGTACATGTTAGCAAGCAAAAGGTGGGACTCGTTCCTAAATAGCCGCTTCTTGAGCTGCTATGTAGTTAAAATGAATGGTTACCAATTTCTATCCGCATTGCGCGTGGCATAGTGGAAGGAGTTTGGAGGTACTTGGTATGCAAGCAAAAGGTGTCTCATAAGTCAGAAATGGCTGGCCTTAAAGTACAGTAGTGGTGACACTATAATAAACAAGACATTCTCCCTATACCTTTTATTGTGTATTTAATTTGTTTACAAAAAAGGCAAGTCTTTCATGTAATATTATATTTGTTGTGTCACGTTTAGGGGAGAAAACGTGTAAGCCCCTGGATAGCTCAGTCGGTAAGAGCTGTGATACGGTATTCCAAGGGTTCTAGGTATGAGTCCCGGACGGGCTGAACATTCTTCTCACCCTGTGACATTTGGTGCCCAATTTGAAGCTGTGACTGAATATAGCTCAGAGTTAAATTCAGATTGCTTTGTAACCTGAGAAATTTGAGGATGAATTTCAATATAGCAGGAAAGTATCTAAATAGCTTTTATGGGAGAAAATATATAAGAGGCCGGATAGCTCATTCGGTAGAGCCTTGGTATGATATTCGAGGGTCCCGATCAGGCTGCACAATATTTTATTTTGTTTTGTTGCTTTCTTTACTTCACTTTCTTCACCCCCTTAACTGCAACAAAACAAAATAATGAAAAAAATAGAGAGCCATCGATGGGTCACGCACAGGTGACAGTATGATTAAACGCCAAATTTTCAGGCGATTGTTCGCTAAATATGGGGACAACAAAATGATTTATTATTGCCACGGTTCAGAACTGTTCACTAATGATTTAGGCGAGATGATGTGTAAGCGGCTTGATAACTCAGGTGGTAGTGATGCGGTACAGTATTCCGGGGGTCCCGGGTTCGAGTTTCGGTGAGCTGCACCCTGTGACACTTGGCGCCCAACGGGGGACCGTGACTGAATATAGCTCAGAGTTTAATTTACATTTCTCTGTAACTCAGTAAATTCGAGGATGAATTTAAATATAGCAGGGGAGTATGTTACGGTTCAGAACTGTTCACCATTTATGAAAAAGATGTGTAAGCGGCCGGATATCTAAGTTGATTAAGAGCTGCGGTACGGTATTCCGAGGGTCCCGGGTTCGTGTTCCGGTCAGGCTGCACATTTTTCTCACGCTGTGACACTTGGCGCCCAACAGGGGACCGTGACTGAATATTGCTCAGAGTTTAATTTACATTTCTCTGTAACTCTGTGAAAT